GACAGTAGGGGGTAGCGGAAACTTCATCCAGGGCAGCAACCCCACAACAACAAACCACAATAACCTCAACATACAGCATGGAGGCAACTTCCCAGAACTACACATTGGACTTCTAACTACAAGCTATAGTCTGATGCTCGCACTAATGCTGTGCAAGCAATGTGTTTAACGCTTGCTGCAGAGCCGCACAGAGCCAGAGGTGGAGGGCATCAGAAAATGCACTTCATAGTGTTAGTCTGATAACAAGTGATTATGTGCATTATGTGCAAACTGTATCTCAGTAAGTGGCTGCCTAAAGTCGGTTGGTGGGATGAAAATATTCAGGGGGAATGGGGAGAAATCTCTCCAAGAAAACAATGGGCCCCACAATAAAAATATTTGTTGATAAATTACCTGAAAGAAATGACACAGGAGGCAATAAATTGACACGACAAGTGAAGAAAAGGCTAATGCACTCCAATACCATTAAAATTATTTTAATACTGTTGCAGATAAAACATGCAACAAATGCACTTTACCCCATTTAAACACGACGCAGAGAAAATGGTTTTTTTTAATCCTGTGAACATGAGAATTTTTTGAAAAAGAAAGTTAGAGCTTATTTCCCCTTTGTGTTTAAAGGCACAGTTCTTGATGAGTCATGCTAGAGTCCAACAAATAGTGTTTAACATCAACCTATATCTATATTCAAATCTAGGTTCTTCCTTGTTAAAAATATTCTTAGGGAGACGCTTTCAGGTGTCAAAAGGGGGTTTATTATTTACTCGACCATTTGTGCTAAAAAAAATTATACAGTTACTGCCACAATACAAAGTTCACAGGTCTAGTGATTCAAAACAAGAATTGTGACTTTAAACTCCACTGAAGAAAGAAACATTTTGTGTGAAAATCACATTGTTGATCATGTTAGAAAAATTCTCAGCCATGCACACTTAAGAAAAGAAGAAGTGTTAACCTCAGCTTCAATGAATAGTTTCCAGAATCTGCCAGAACTTGGGAACTGCGTGACAAGTCGCTCATATGTCTTCCTTGCTTTATCTATGGGTTGGTTCTAAAGGAGGAGAATGCATATACATTCCAAACTTTTTGACACATGAAGAAGCAATCATATGAGGAAAGAGATGTAGTGTTTTGTATTTTAACAATCTATATCCCCCTGCCCCTATAACCCCACCCTTACTCCCAGTTTACTTAACCCCAGGAATACAACTCTGTGTCACTAAACCTGTGCTTCTCGAATCAGAATGCTCCATGCGTCAAGGTCATATGGGTTTTCTTCCAACTTCTTCTCTGCCTTCTTCACCTTTTCTGGAATATACTCCGCCGCCGCCTGCAAGACAGCACAAAACCACAGGACAATAGAGTTATGGAGCTGAACAGACTGTTGTTGGTTGTTGTGTGGTGGTGACTTCAAGAGCCCACGGCTAAATGCGACCAACATAACTTTAAACAAAGGCTTATCATATAGGGATTGGTTACATACGGATTAATGAGGCCCAGAATTATTGGCAAGGCCGCTGTAAACGACTATGTGGTACAATCATAAGGATAATAAGTCTTATTGCCATGGATGGAAAAATCAAGGTAGAAATACAAAACAATTTCCCCCCAATAGCTAGCTAGGCCCTTATAGCTGCCACCTTTGAGAAACATCCGGCACAGTGAAAATAGAATCAGTAACGCTGCCTAGCTATCACCAATTACACGCTAATACCAATTAATGTGGTGTTAGCGTTAACTTAGCTCAACGCGGTAACGGTGGGCGAAATCGCCACGATGCTACTTAGATCAATATGGCGTACGACGGACTACTGATAAACTTTTAAGACAAAGCAACGAAAATAAAACTGCCGGTGTAATTGTGTGATATTAACTAATACTAACGCATAAAAGATCATAACACCGAGTATTGCAACTGTGTTTACTTTCTAACATTACCCAGGAAGAGCACACATGCTAGCTACCTGTGCTAGCATTTCAGTTCTAGTTAGCATGCCCCTCAGCAGAATTGCAGCTCACTTTACCTGTTCGGCTGTTCCCTCGGTGGACATGACTGGAAGCGTAATCGTGGTTGCAAATGTTTAATCAATTGGATTAACGCTCAAATACTAACGCGATTGCAATTTTAGACATCTAAGTAACCGGCATAGCTTCAGAAGGACCGATTACATTGCCTTCTAGCAACTAGTTGCTCTGTGGCTAGCCGATATCTCAAAATGGCGTGAAACCTGTGTTCCGCTAGGCCAACTGCAACAATCACAAAGCTTCCGGCACTAATCCTTCACATTAAAACATCAATCTACACAATTTACTGTAAGTTTGTTCTGACTACGCAAGTTACATGTTCCAATATAATGTACATAATTTATGCATCCTCACGATAGCTCAAATCCATTAATATACTACCGTGGTGACTTTCTGAAACTAAAGTGTCCACTGTGCCACTCACCTGTGGTTTTGACAATATTATGTAAAATATTCTTGCTATTTTTCTGTATGCCGTCATAAAGGACAGCGCTATTATGTGTTTTGACCTATGGGGTTGGATTTGTCAGGAACAGATTTGAGTCGCAAATCAGATCATACATTACTTTAGCAGCTTCACTTGGGATTTGGGAATAGATAAGAATATAAGAGGCTCTACACTGCATAGGTTTATTCACATCCTAACCTAAAAATAAAATGTATAGGTAAAGTACTAAAATTAAATATAGCATACTATGTAAAAAATTATCTTCATTTAGTGTATATTTACGCATGACAACGTGTATTTAGGTGAGTCATACTGTATGTAACTGCTAACCAAGTTTATAATTTTGGCCTATAGGTGGCTTCACGCAGGGGCCATTAAATAGCTATTTTTTCTACCGTACCTCCCATACTGTATTTACTATGAAAATTTAACCACAGTGAAAGTAAGACTATTCGCGATTTTGTTATCGTAACTGCATTCATAAAATCTAGCAATTATACAACAAATATAGTTGTGTAACACGGTGCACAATGGTGGTCCCCTTGATGGCCAATAGGGGGAGACAAATGCTAGCCACCGGGAGCGCGCGCTTGTCTCTGTATCAAACAGACCAGAGCAACGGACCACAGAGCAGTTTTCTGATCACGTGTTTTTTTCCTCACACAAAGCTATTAGAAAACTCATGTAGCTTATGTATAGCAGGCAATATATTAACTAACGGGATGAGCTAGTCCTGCGACTAAATGCCCAATTAATAAGCAGAATATGTTAAACTATTCATAGTGTGATTGTGATTGAGTCTTAGTGGACCCAACATTTGTGAATTGAAAGAGAGAGAAATGAAAAGCAAAATTTTATGTTTTCAGTTAAATAATAATACAAGTAGTTTACAGCTATGACAGTGAGATGATGTGACACTGTTGATGTACGTTTGTAGGACATGAGACTGAGAGGAATAACATATGGTGGCTGTCCCGGAAGCACCCAAAAACTTAATGGGGGTTTATAAACATGTGGGATGTGTGTCTTCTCCTGTTACCAACCCAGCTGTGTTTATTCATATTGCACAAGGTTGGGAAGAAGAATTCACACCTGTTTTACAGCTGACCAGGCCTGGTGGTTTGTTGTTTGTAATTGGGGTGGGGACTGGTTGGATTAAATTACAGCAGACATCAGGGTTTTATGAGCAGCTTTCTTTGTTGGCTGGGGGCTTCCTGACTGTCTGAGCAATAGACTTCAGCTTGTGCTCTCCCACTAATTTGTAAAAATACCACTATTGACACACTGTTAAAGAAGAAATAAAATTAATGATTGTTTGTTACATATATTTACAGCCAGTGTTGAGATTGTACTAAGACGTTTTTAAATTAGGCCTACATTGTATACATTGTTGTGGAATTAGTTATCAACATGTGTCACTAGTGACTATTTTAATTAGCCTATGCATGGTGTTAGGTATTTTTAGTCAGATAGATATTGGATAGATACTTTATGTATTAGAAATGTTTAGACTGTTAAATGTTTAGGCATGCTTATGAGTTTCTACAGGGTACATCTGGTCAAGGATAACTAGAGAGAAGAGTTGATGACTGTCAGCAGACAGGGTGTTTAATATTATTATTATGACGTGTATAACTGTAGCCTTAGCCATAATATGTTCTTATGTTTAAGTCACGACATGTACTAGAGGT